AAAATGTCAATTTTTACCAAGTTGATTTATAGATTTAATATAATCCCTGTCAAAATTCCAGTAATTTTTTAAAATGGAAATTGACAAGCTGATTCTAAGATGAAAAGATAAAGATGCAGGAATAGTAAAAAAAAAAAAATTGTCGAGATCGGGCCGGGTGCGGTGGCTCACGCCTGTAATACCAGCACTTTGGGAGGCCGAGACGGGTGGATCACGAGGTCAAGAGATTGAGACCATCCTGGTCAACATGGTAAAACCCTGTCTTTACTAAAAATACAAAAAAAAAAAAAAAAAAAAAAAAAATAGCTGGGCACGGTGGCACGTGCCTGTAATCCCAGCTACTCAGGAGGCTGAGGCAGGAGAATTGCCAGAACCCAGGAGGCGGAGGTTGTGGTGAGCCGAGATAGCGCCATTGCACTCCAGCCTGGGTAACAAGAGCGAAACTCCGTCTCAAAAAAAAAAAAAAAAATGTGGAGATCAAAATTGGAATATGTTTACTGCTAGATATCAAGTCTTGATTACCATAGCTTTATAATGAAACAGTGTCATATTGACATGAGGATTGATTTTGAAACCAATGGAATAGAGTCCAGAAAGAACATTTCAACACTCTTGAACATATATGGTCTCCTGATTTATGCCACTGGTAACAAGGCAGAGTGTGGAGAAAGAATACCATTCCTATAGTAGTGGCGAGTCAGTTGAATATCACCATGGCTCCCCACTTAATATTGTAAGTCATTGGGGACAGTTTTGGCCCTCCTGCTCCCATGGACATCCAGCAATTACTGATTGTCATTACTGAGGATGGGGCATGCTATGGTACTTAGTGGGTACAGGCTAGAGATGCTGCTAAATGTCCTACAAATCACAGGAGAGTCTCCACATGATGAAGACTTGCCTTGTCCAAAATGTCAATGGTGCTAAGATTGAGAAACCCTGCTGAAAACAAAAATCATTCCTAGGAGGAGTGTAGGCTTATATATGAAGATAGAACATTAAAGTTTCTGAACGCTTATAAGAAAGAATATATTCATGACCTTGGGCTGGTGAAAATTTGTAAAACATGACACAAAAGAGCAGTAAGCATAAAGTAACAGCTCGATAAAGAAGAATGCAAGTTGTTTACCAAACCACATTCCAAACACAGTAAGATGTTAAGCTATAAGGCAGATATTTTCTAGATGTATATAACCGACAAAGTACTCGTATTCAGAATATATAAACAATGTCTACAAATCAGTAAGAAAAAAGACAACTCAAGCAAAATGGGCAAAAGAATCTCTTTGACAATAACTATAAGAGAAAGTACTCAACATCATTAATCACTAAGAAAATAAAAATTAAAAACTGAAAAATAACATTACACATTCACCAGAAAGATTAAAATGTAAAAGAATGGGAAACTGTCTTAATCCCAGTGCTAATTAAACTGTGGAACAAATTGATTTTTCATACACTGCTGACAGGATTGTATATTGGAACAACTACTATGGAAAACCATTTGTATCTACTAAAACTGGACATATACATACCCTTAGCAATGTTACTTAGCAATACCAGTCCAACAGAAATGCATACATATGTGTACCAAAAGATATATACTTATATGCACCAAAGATACATATTTTCTATCATGTACATACTTACAGATTTTATACATGTTATATCATAAACATTTGCATACACATATATATACACATGCACACATATACCTTCATATGTATAAAAGTTTATAGGAGCATTCTTCACAATAGTTAAAAACAGGTAACAACCTAGTTGTCTAACATCAGTATGGATAAGTTCTAGTATATTCACAGAATGGAATTCCTCACAATGATAAAAATGAATAAACCATTGTATAAACAATAACATGAATAACTCTTAACAATGTTGAAAGAATGTCAGACACAAAAAGGTACAGGTACATATGATGCCATTCATTATATTGATATGAAAATTGGATGTTGCAATTCAGGATAGTGTTACCTTTGGAGAGGAAGATAGGGTTAGGGACTGAGAGAGGCCGAGGGAGGGCTTCTGTGGTGTTAGTGATATTTTATTCCTTATCTGAACAGTGGTTATGCAGGTGTGTTAATTGTGTAAAAATTCACTGAGCTTTACACTTCTGATTTGTGTACTTTTTCTATGTGTGTATCAATAGAAATATTTATTTAAAAAAATGGATAAGAGTGGGATTGAGTGAGGAAGAAGTTGGTACAGAAATAAAATATGCTCTTAGAGTCAAATACCATATAGCATCATTTATAAGTGGGAGCTAAATAAGATATACATATGGATGTATAGTGTGGAATAATAGACTTTGGAGACTTGGAAAAGTGGGAGGATTGGATGGGGTGAGGGATGAGAAATTACTGAGTGGGTACAATGTACATTATTCAGGTGATGATTACATAAAAAAAACTAGAGTTCACCACTGTGCAATATATCCATGTAAAAAAACTGCACTTGTATCTCTTACATTTATACAAATTTTATGTATGTACACACACACTCCCTTAAAATGTGTATTTGCATTTGAGTTTGCAAGATAAAAATTTCTGACCATAAGTTTCCTATCCAAAATACTGGAGAATTGTAATGCATTTTTCTCAATTCCCTTATGATAAACAAGTTAGCAAAACAGTAGGTATTTGTTTCTTACCAAGTTTTCCCAGTTTAAAAAAATATATTAGTACAAGCCTGAATTATATAAACTTTCTTTGCCCTTTCCCTTCCTCAATTTAGTTTACCTTGCCCACAAGGTTGAATCTGAGCTGTTAGAACCATAGTCTAAAGATCCCTCTTGTATTTATCAGTATTTTCTTCTTGAGAGAGCTATTGGCAGAGGAAGGAACACTGCTCTGAGGAATGCATTCCTGAGTGGCGAGGAAAAATCATGTTCCTATTCTCAGAAGTACAATATGGCATCTATCAGTTATTATAGTGACATAACATGACAACAGTAGATGATTTCTAGTATATAGTGTTTTTTTGTTTTTGTTTTTTGAGATGAAGTTTCACTTTTGTTGCCTGGGCTGGAGTGCAATGGCACAATCTCAGATCCCTGCAAGCTACACCTCTTGGGTTCCAGCGATTCTCCTGCCTCAGCCTCCCAAGTAGCTAGTATTTACAGGTACCTGCTACCAAGCCCAGCTAATTTTTTGTACTTTTAGTAGAGATGGGGTTTCACCATGTTAGCTGGGCTGGTTTCGAACTCCTGACCTCAGGTGATCCACCTGCCTCGGCCTCCCAAATGCTGGGATTACAGGTGTGAGCCACCGTTCCATATTATTACACATAATCTAGAGATGATTTAAAATATATAGAATGATGTGTGTGGGTGATATGTCAATAGTACATCTTTTTTAATATTAGGAACTGAAGCAAGTTTTTGCTGACCAATTGTGTTAATATCTTTCATCAACACACATTTATGTAACCTCCACAACGTAAACTGGCATCAAATTTGTACCATTAAATTGATAATTATTATTGTATTTGATTTCCTTCTTTTACACAACAGTCTCATTACTTTAAGATATGTTCATACATGTTTCAAATACACTAAAAGAGCTTATGGTTATATTTAAGAGAATCTATTATTTCAAAATTTTCAAAGCTACTAACCAATCTTTACATTACAGTCAAATTAAATTCTATCCATTTTCCTAAACTTTTGGACAGTAAAAGATTATGTCAAAAATCTGTTTCAGGTATGCATAGGCTCAAATTTAGTTTTCAAAGCTATTCTACAAATAAAAAATGTTCACTTTAAAATTTTAGCTCTAGAATAAATGGGATCTTTGAAGGCAGCAAATCACACTGCCACATGTGTACCTATACAACAATCTTGTATGTTCTTCACATGTACCCCAAAACCTAAAATGCAATTTAAAAAATAATTTAAAAAAATAAAAAAACAAATAAAAAAGATAAAATATTGAATTTGAAAAGAATCTGAGAAATTGACATATTTTAACTCACACATTTGAAGAATTATTTAATCATAAAATAGACAAAGTTTATTGTTTTTATGCTAGAGCATGTTTATAGATTTAATAAGAGAAATTCCTTTTACATTCAATAAAACTCAATACACTTGAAAAAAAAAAGAATAAATGGGATCTTCTTGAGACATCACTGAATGTCAACAAAAGTGATTGCAGTCATCCCTCCCTATCCATGGGGGATTGGTTCAACAACCACACTGATGCCAAAATCCGAGAATGCTTCAGTTCCTAATATTAAAAAAGATGTACTATTGGCATATCACCCACACATCATTCTATATATTTTAAATCATCTCTAGGTTACATGTAATAATGATACAGTGTGAATGCTATGCAAACAATTGTTATAATATATTGTTTCTCTATTTGTATTATTTTTATTGTCGTATTATTTTTACTTATTTTCCTAAATATTTTTGATCCACAGTTGGTTGAACCTGAGTGTGCAGGACCCACGGATATGGAGGGCTGACTACACAGAGGGAAAAATGGGAAGAGAGAACATCGAGGAGACTTTGTACCCTAATAGAGCCTTTCCAGAAAGTCCCATCTTGCAATGACATACTGTTGTTTTAAACACGTCCTGCTGGAATTATTGCAGCTGTGGTGCATGTGGCAGAGAAGGACTGTTCCTGAGGATGAAATAATGGTCACATTCTGCAGAGCAGATGAAGTTGTAGGTGCTGTGGGGAAGTGAGGACGGGCAGGGACAGTGAAAGTAGGAGAAATGATCACTTAACATTGTTATAAATTTCTTATTTCTTGGTTACTATAATTGCTAAAGAACTCCAAAAAGATAATACCTAATTATGTGGACTTAATGCCCTGAGTGCATGAGATGAGAATGAAGTGCATCAAAGAACTTGGAAATAAGGGAAATGAGGTCACTCGGTGAGAGTCATGTCATCATAATGGTGCACATGGAATGAAACATAGGTAGTTACCTAAAAGAGACCTTTTTGGCAGGTGATGGAGCTTCTCAGAGAACTGCTTTATATGTGCTTCAGTGCATATTTGATTCTTCTGCACTGGCCTCTTCATTTGTTGCCATGATGTCACCTCTCTTTGCTGTCCCTTCTGGGACACTGGATGGACTAATGACTAAAAACTAATGGAAGCTATACCTACCCTCCTGAGCCCATTTGCATGAGAGGATCATTGTTTGTATCATTTTTTGCACAGGTCCTGCCCCAGGTCCCCACAATGTAGCATTTATAACATCATGCTGTAAATTTAATGAAGCTTTACTTAAGGTTTGAGTAGAAAGGTAGCTGTAAACTCTGGGAAGAATTGATAATGGTAAGTAAACCCAGACTCACCCTCAAGTAAACTCCAGGTGTGGTCCCTGTTCTCTCCCAGGCTACTGCTAGGTGGCTCTGGGCCACCCTTATCCTGCCTTCACATCCAGACTTCCTCATAAATCTGAATCCAGGAAAAATGGTTTTTGGCTCCAGGAAGAATTTGTTATTGTTTTCCACCATCCCAACTAAGGCCCTCTCGATTACATAATGTGTCTGTCTTGATCCCAGAGGCATTTTTAGCACCCAGCAAAGGGCCTAAGACATGGTGGGTTACAGTTTATTCATGCAATAAATATTAGGTTAATGAAAAAAACAAGAATAGTCATTTTGTGGTTGTTTATACCTCTCTGGAGACTTGACAAATACAGTTGTATTAATCAAATTAACTAGCATTCTGATTATCCTTTGGAAGAAAGCAGGGCCCCCTGAGGTTATCTGAGGATGTATTTTCTGACTGATATATACTTTATAGGCCAGATGACAACTACTATTTGTTCTTCCTCTTTTGGTTTAGGAATTTGATAACACACATTTCTCAAAGTTTTTGAAACCCTTGCAAGTAACTAAGTGAATTTTGATCACATGGCCCAGTGTACTGATTTCTAAGATGGTTTTGTAAATTGCTTATCTCAGACAGAGCAATAGTTTCGGTTAGTTCTCGGCAGCTCTACTTGAGTGTGGTCCCACAAGAACAGTATCAGCATCACTTGGGAGTTTCTTTGAAATTTAGATTCTCAGGCCTCATCTAGAACTTCTGAATCATAATTTGTATGTTAACAAGATACAAAAGATAAAAGAGGATGCGTGTAGGCATACTAGAGTTTGAGAAGCACTCCAAGGGTCACGGGTTTTGGGACTCTTGTTTAAATTGCCTGCTTTGAGAGTAGTCCGCATTTACAGAGGAAGAAAAATTTCCCCTTGATTGGGGTTTTCTTTCTGTTTCTCCTCTCTTATTCAAACATCACAGGTCTTTTGATCTGAGTGAAAAGAGCAGGGTAGAATATGGTGAAACATTTGCCTCTTGCCTTCCTCTATACACTGGTAAACTTCAATACATAAGATATGTACAGGCAAAACATCTAGATATTATGTCTGCAGCACCAGATAACACCTTTAAAGAGATTGCAGTTTGTCATCATCAATCCAGCCACTTCCCGGATACTCTGTGCCTAGACTGGTAACTGCTATTCAATTTACCTCTTCTCAAACTTTTCCAGCCCTTTAGAAAACTATAGCTTCTAGATAAACGTAGGTTACTGAACCTAAACAGCAAATAATTGCAGCCTATTCAAATCTCAAGAAGATGGCCTAGCTACTTGGGAAACTGAGGCAGGAAGATTGCTTGAGCCTGGGAGTTTGAGTCCAGCCTGGGTAACAAGAAATACCCTGTCTCTAAAAGTAAAACATAAAAAATAAATTACATTTTAAAAAAAAGATGGCTTAGTTTTTGACTATAGACTGACTTTAATATTAGGGCTGCTTCTAATCCTCTATTCAGACCTTGTCTATTTTATTAGGATTTTGACCTCAATCCTCATGAAACGAGTGTTAGAAATTATGTCTTCAAGGTTGTTTTATTTCCTGGACCATTTTTTAACCAACAGAATATTATGAATGGGTTTTCTTATTGGCAATTGTTTTTGTGCTTATGTCAATCTGCTGTAATAGCTGCACATATATACAAATATATGTAAATATATAAATAGTTTACATTGTCTATATTATTTCCATGGGTAAATTTTTTTAAAAATTTCCCATCTCCACCAATTTTCAGGGCTGTTATGTGGGGTTACATGCTTATATTTTCTCATCATTTAAGCTTTTGATCTCTATGGTATCTCAGACATTCTACATTCTTTCTTCTGGCTGATTTAAGCCTTGATTTCTTTGCTCTCCCTTTTCTGTACTAAAATAATTTAAAAACCTAGAAGGCTCTTCTTGAGGCAGCTTCAAATTTAACTAAAATGTCCCGTGGGTTACCGTAAGTTTTCCTCTGGCTAAGATGAACTCCTTTTTTTTTTTTTTTTTTTTTTTTGACAAAATCTCCCTCTGTCACCAGGCTGGAGTGCAGTGGCACAATTTCGGCTCATTGCAACCTCTGACTCCCTGGTTTAAGTAATTCTCCTGCCTCAACCTCCTGATTAGGGGGTTTCACCATGTTAACCAGGATGGTCTCCATCTCCTGACCTTGTGATCTATGCACCCTGGCTACCCAAAGTGCTGGGATTACAGGCGTGGGCCACTACACCTGCCGGACTCCTCTTCCTACTATCTTTTCTAACCATGTTTCCAGATCCAGTGCATGCTTTGATACAATTTCTCCTACTGCTCTCTGTTAAATAGTAGTTTCCAGAAATTACTATTTCTAAAAGTAACTTTGTTTCAAAAGCAGATTTTCCAGAGACAACTCTCGGTTTCTAGAATCTAATAGTTTCCACAATAGGCTGAGCAGTCTCCCCGCCAGCTGGCGCATATTAACTGGCCAGTGTCTCCAAAACTTACCCAGGCTGGACTCTAACCTCCCTTGACACCCAGCATTCTGACATTCCTAGCAATATTCTTTCTGTTGCCTTTTTTCTCTGAATTTTACTTTAGAAACTCAGCATTTGAAAGACTGAGCATAAAACAATCCCCTTCCATATACCACCCTTTCCAAGTACTTCTGGAAGACTGTGGAGTAGCACCGTGAATTCCCTGCATTCTAATGCTATTTTCTCAAACATGTTCACACTGGTCCTGAATGTTTTCAGTCATGTTTATTTTTGTTGCTTTCAAAGGACTTTCATTTCTGAAAAATTTAAATTTTTTTCTATTAGATTTTTTTCTCATTATCCTGCCAGCTCATTTTAATTGACAGCATTTTTTGAGTCCTTTTTTCAAAAAGAGATATAATGCTATCCCTAATTTTATTTAGATTATGGTATTTTAGATCTTCCATTTCCTTGATTGTTTTTTTGTGTGTACGTATTCTTTGCATGCCTTTTGCTTATGTTGTTCTCTCTCTCTCTCTCTTTTTTTTTTTTTGCAATTTCTCTGCATGTGTTTATACCCTCATCTCTTTTCTGATTATTAGCTTGTATTTGAACTGAGTCAAATATTTGTTATACAGTACTCTAAGGAGGGGAGAGATTAGGGGGTGGGATAAAGGCAGGAAGAGCAGGAAAGCATGAGGTGCAACAATTCACAACTTCTGTCTGGGCTTTTTTTTTTTTTTAAACAAATAATCATTCACCAAATCAGTTCTATCTTTCTCCTGGTGGCATGATTCTCACAGGATCTCCATCATTTATGATGTTGATGCATCAGGTTTCACCTCAAACTATCCTCTGGGTAGGTGTCTAGACTGTAAACAATAAAAATGATTGGTAAGATAATTCCACCTTTGGTATGATCATTGTATCCATGTCTGTGGGATGCACCCTAATTCTAGTAGATCCTATGTCTCTATTCAGACACCCACTAGATTATCACTTGAGAATGTGATCATTGTTAATTAATTAATTAATTTACATGAAACTATATTTCAATAGAATATTTGGCAGAAACATTTTGTATTTTGTGACTATTGCCTTGTTTTAATGAACATTCATTCTCCCTTTTTTGTTAGGTGACTTTATTATGGCATCTTTTCCTATATCCCTAGACTATAGTTTTCTTCTCTTTTTTTTCTTTGTTATTTTTTTTAAATGAGGGTTCAATGAAATTTTAGAGAAAATTGAGCAGAAAATCAACAGAGAGAATAGACTAGACCTCCAAAACCTAGATCAACCCTCAGTATATTGAACTCCTCTTAGGATGAATAATGAAAGAGACCTCCATTACCTCTAGACGGCAGCCTTATTTAGACAAATAGGTTTGTGGTTTAGCTTGAGAGTCCCACAATACAAACATAAGATAATGTGGTGTTAACACATTTCCAAATGTCTTGGTTATTCATTTGCTTCCAAGTTTTGTTATTACATAAAGAAGAAATGTGGCAAATGGTAAAGAATTAATTTCCAGCAATGAAAGCACAGAAGCAGGATAGTTGGAAGGGCAACTTTTGATAGGACTCCCTAAGTCCTCTCCAGGGGATGTGTCCTCTTCAGTAAGTAGTTGTTTTGTCTCCTCATTGAGTAGCTCAGTGCCACACCCTATCAGAATCAATGCTTTTCAACATCTGAATCAATAGCTGAATATGACCCTTTTATTCTAAGTCCATTCTGACTCTTTCACAATTTGATTTCCTGTGTAGTTTGTGTATAGTGAAAAATATATGCAGGCCGGTCACAACAGCTCATGCTTGTAATCCCAGCATTTTGGGAGGTCAAGGAAGGCAGATTACATGAGGCCAGGAGTTTGAGACCAGCCTGGCCACCTGTACTAAAAATACAAAAATTAGCAGGGTGTGGTGGTGTGCATCTATAGTCTCAGCGACTTTGGAGTCTGAGGCACCAAAATTGCTTGAACCCAGGAGGTGGAGGTTACAGTGAGCTGAGACCCAGCCACTGCACTCCAGCCTGGGTGACAGAAAAAAAAAGGAATATATATATATATATAGCATGGTTTCACATTCCTAACTTAGTCTCCAAAACAAAGATGAAGTAGAATTTCAGAGCATGCAATGCTGAATATGGTCATCACATCAAGTATATGTACCTGAAGGGAGTCAGTCTTGTAGACAAGACATGCTTTTCTTGTGTTGCTGCTTCAGCAGGATAGGACCCCTTACATTTGAAACCCCACCATGTATACATTGTTTACCTAGAGGAAAAACTGATGGGACATCCAAATACCGGTAGAGTTAGATTTAACTAATAAAACTATTTTCACAATTCAGCCTTCCACACAACCCCAAGAAGCTTCCAAGCCTAAAACAATTTTAACCAATGTTTTGAGTAGGAAGGTCCATGCAAACCTACCCCAAAGGCAAGGAAGTGGAAAGGCCAAAGAAAGAGGCTGACAAATCCACTTGTTTAGAAAGAAACATTTAATAGGGGCTTATGAACAGAACCCATGTCTGCATCTCAAATGGTGACAAGACGAGGTGGTAGATCCTCATGCCACTGGCCCCGAGATCTAGGAATTATACACTGTAAGGGAGGGGCACATGTGCTTCAGAGGGAATGGATAGAAATTTGCCACCCAGGCAGAATTTACAGTCAGCACCCCTCTTATACAAGGAACAATATATATATATATATAAAGAGAGAGAGAGAGAGAGAGAGAGAGAGAGATCACATCCAAGTGGAAGCTGCAGCCTCTTGAAAGCACAGCCCATCGGACCACATTCTATACATTAGAAATGTGTCACTAAGTTCAGCCTGCACTTCAAGGGGAAGGAAATTAAGCTCCACCTTCTGAAAGGGGAGGCATGAAGAATTTGCAGACATATTTTGTAAACCACCAAAAATATATTGTTTTAGTCATTATTACTTTGTGAAATTTGTATACTATGTTTCAATACATATATTCTGCTCTTTTACACTATCATTAGAACAAATTGCATATTACACATTTTAACTTAATGAACTTAAATGTATTGGGGTGTGTGTGTGTGTGTGCAAAAAAGAGAGTCTGGGAGAGAGAGAAATAACACTTATTTAAATAGTGCAGGGGAAAGAAAACACAATACAAGCTACTTCATGGATTCAGGTTTGAATTAACCAGCTATAAGAGATATTTTAAGGAATACTACAGGGAATTTGAATGTAGACTGGATATTAGGTGATCTTAGGAAGTTAGAAATTCTATTAGGTATGCTGATGATATTGGGCCATGAAAGAAAACGTCCTTTTTTGAGAAAGGCACTGACTGACATTTTTTGGGATAAATATGTTATCTACAGTTTATTTTACAATTTTAACATCCTCCCAAAAGGTGAAGCAAATATGACAAAATTAGCGTTTGTCGAAATTTAGTAAAGGTTATGCGGCTGTCTAATTTACTATTTTCTACTCCTCTGTGCTTGAAATTTTACAATAACAAGTCAAAAAAACAAAATCCAAGCAAACAAAAAATACAGTGCACTGCGTCTGCCTCCACTTGGAGTACACAGACCAGGGAGTGATATTGAGGTGAGAGTGCAGGCTTGCTGCAGGGTGAGTGTCTTGCCATGTTGAAATAAACTGTTACAAAATGACATTTTATTTGTATTTGTTCATTTATAAAAAAAGACTGTTTATTGTCTATTTGTCTAAACAAAATTGTTTATATTTTATTTCGTAGGTTATTTTAGAGAATTGGAAACTTTTTACATCATCTAAGTTTTGTCTATTATAATGCTGTTAGAACTGAAACCCGAGTGACTGTTTTATTTTGTGTGTGTGTTTGTTCATTTGTTTGTTTGTTTTGAGACAGGTTCTGGCTCTGCCACCCAGGCTGGAGTGTAGTAGCACAGTCTCTGCTCACTGCAACCTCCACCTACCAGGTTCAACTTATCCTTCCACCTAAGCCTCCCAAGTAGCTGAGACTACAGGCATGCACCACCACATCTTTCTAATTTGAAGTGACTGTTTTAATAACGGTGTCTAAAGGCCATCTAAAGTCAGCATATTTTGGCCTGTACATTCCAGGCAATGGCAATACAGGATTTTCTCTGGTTCTCAGTCTGCCCAAATGATCCAATCAAATGCAGTGGGTTAGAATGTGTGAAAAAAGGCAACCTCCAAGCCGGGTGAATGTATATCAGGATTCATCTTGCCCCAAATGAGACAGCTTCAAAGGAGTGGCTTGGGTTCTCTAATCTTTGTAGCTCAAATCTCTGGTTTGCCCAGGCTCAGGGCTGGATACTGACAGCTTGGGCTCAAGAGGATGAGACTACTGTGGAAGAGGCAAGGCCACCAGATAAGAGTGTGACCATGAGACCAAGGGGTAAAGAGAGATCCAACAGTGGGAAAACTGGAATGGCAGAGGAGGATGAGGGCTCGGAGGGAGCTGGGAAGGAGAGGCGATTGCAATTGAGGATGGAACCAGAGACCGTTGTTGATTTTAGGGTCAGAAAAATCTGTTGTCTAGATGAAGAATTAAATAGAGCAAAGACAATTGTTGCTCCAACTCCAGGTTTCACTCATAAAACAACGTGGGGTAGATCTGCAGTTACTGAGTGAAAGAAACCTTGTGTCTAATTGATCCTTTAGAACATTTACCTGTAATGATAGAATTAAAACATGATCTGTGCTGCGCTCCTGCTGAAATGCTTCAAGTGTGCAGTGCACGGGGGGCTGATCAGATCTCACGCACCCTCCCACTAAGGCAACACTCAAATCTGTCATAACCATCCTCTGAATTCCATCTGTTTGTTACAAGCCCCAGTTGGAGCGGTGTGGATTTGAGCCCTTTAAAAATGGTTTTCCCTCAAAAGCTCTTTTTGAGTGTGTGCTTGTGTGAACTTCCCCAGCAAATCTCAGACTGAAGTTCACCCAGACACCATTGCTGCTCAGTGACTTAGTAATAGGTGATATGTAAGCATAGTTTCCACGTCTGCTTGTAACAAAGCTGATTCCCATTCATTTGCCAGAATGCCACAAAATTCACCAGAGTTTTGCAGTGGTTTTGCCCAGTCTGCAGCGCTCATGTCATATTTTTATCAGCGTTTGTCAGAGACTCAGGGTTCAAACTATTAGAGGTCCAGATGACATCTGGCTTCTCAGCTCCCCTGGAATACTGGCTGTAGTGCTTATCAGTACATTATTCATCAAAACTGATGATGCAAGGTACAACATGCTGTCTGTCGTTCAGTGTATGAGTGGAAAAGAGTTGGCAGAAATGCCTGGTGTTCTGTGAGCAGCATGTAATCAATAGTCTGGGTGCTTGTTCACTTCGTGTTGATGACTATTCCCTCTGGTACATTTCTGTATATTTTTGGGTTCACTGTACTACCAGCTGTGCAATTTTTCTTTCTCTGTTCCTCATGCCAGCCCTGATAGACAGAGCAGAAGGAACAACCTTTTAGTGCGGTGGGTGTCAAATCAAATAATCTAACGACCAAAAGCAGGGCAGCAGGCACTGGCAAAAAGAGACAGTTCCAATAATTTCCAAGTGTACTCAGTAATAAAATCAAATGAGCTGCGCTGATATTCAGACTTTCTGCTACTTGACTCAAATTAAACAATGCCAATACTCCCCTTTGCTCCTTCTTAAATGACAAACAAATCATGGGCATCCCTCCTCCCATTTTCTCCATTAAGAGTGTGTGTGTGTGTGTGTGTGTGCGTGCGCGCGCGCACGCACCCACTGCTATCTGTAAATCCCATTCCCTCTAAGCAGAGGGAATTTAGTTCCCTTTGTTAATGACAAATGCTCAACATTGTCACTGAGTTGAAGAGTGTGAGACGATGTTATTAGCAATTGCACAAGATGTTCTAGAATCAATACTGAAACCCACCTTGTGATATCTGAGATGAAGAAATTAATTTTCACTCACAAATTAAGCAACTATCCATTCCTACAGCTTTCAGAATTTGATTATTATTTTAAAAAGATGTTTGTTCAGACATAAGGAAAAATAGATGTTCAAATAAAAACAGCTAGTTTTAAATGGTCAAATCAGTCTCAAGTTTTAATTAACCTTTTAGCAATTATCTTAGAAAATCTTAAGATTTTAACATTCCTTGTAATTTGGAGTTTTCCAGAGCTCATTTAGAGGCCCCGCTGGCTCAGGCAGCAGTGAAATGTGTTGTTCAGCAGGTGATTTGAAGGTTGGGCGGCCAGCGTGCACCCTGTTGTTGGTCCCATGTCCATGGTTTAATAGTTGTGTCTATCATTTTTGTCAGGCTTGATGATTACTCCATGATCATTACAAAACGTTAATGGTTTCCTGTGTCTCCACACCTCTTAGGCATTAAAAAAAGGATTATTTATTTTTAGAATGAGTAATTCTGGCTAGCCTGATTTCTAGATGACAGTAATATTATTTTGTCACAATGAATATCTCAACAGAATTCCAGATCCTGGGACTTGCTTTGGACTCAACACATCTATCTAGTCTTCAGCTGATATCTACCTCCTGACTAATGAATCTCCCTGGCCCCTGGACTTTTAACCTGAAACACAGCCTAAAACAGGTAAGTACATAAACAATATGCCACAACTTGGTGCAGCTATAGATGGGATGGAAACAAAAGAGGCAGTTATTAGAATAGTAACTGAGGCCACAAAATTCAATTTTGGATGGTGATATGGTTCCATCATTGGTGTTCATTCAGACTGTCCATGTTCAAATCCTGGCTCTGCCATTTCATAGCTCTGAGGCTACTAATAATGTTAATTAACATCTCTGTTGTTCAATTTTATTCTATGTTAAGTGTAGGTAATAACATTAGTCAGAACATAAGTTATCATCAGGAATAAATTGAGGTATATAATGTAAGGGAGTAGCAAGCCCCTGGCACCTAATAACTGTTCAATGAAAGTTATCTATTATTGCCAGTGACCAGCACATTGAGACTTTGTAGTATTATTTTCATTCAATTCTATTCAACTGTAACAGTATTATTGAATATCTAACATGTTAAAGCATTGTCCTATGTGTTGAGGGATAAAAGCATAACAAGATTATGGCTCTGACCTCCAGGAACTTAGCATTGCCAGGGTGAAGTTATATATGTATATACCTGTAACAGTGATGAAGGTTTGAAAATACCAGAACAGAGGTACAAACCATGTCCATACACCATTTGGGCTGGAGGAGAATCTATGATTCTTACATGAAGTTGAAAGAAAGATGGTGGAGGAAAGCCAGCTGATCATTTGAGCTAGTCCTGGGATGACAAGTCAGAATTATTAGTAAAAAGGAGATTGGAAGTGTGAGAGGCTATTCTGATGGATTACGGGGTGCAGGAAGGTGGGAAGTCGTAGGGATTTCTCTGAGACTGACAAATGGTCTGATACACATGAAGCATGCCTCTTATTTCATGGGGAGCCTGCATGACAGATAAGGAAGCACCAGCTTTGGAGTCAGCTTGACCTGTGACTGGATCTTTGTTCTGTCTCACTAGACATGGCCTGGCTATAATGTGGAATTCCACTTCTGTTATATGTGTAACGATGATGATGATAGTCACATATGTCCCATAGTTGTTGTGGGCATTTATGGAAATAACATATGTAAAGCACCTGGCATATGATAGACACCAGCAAATATTTTCTTTGTGGGGCATAGGAGGTTTGCTCACTAGCGCTTTAGATAGCCCAAATGCCAGCCGGAGCCCCTCTGTGCTCTGAGGCTTGAGGAAAATTGTCTGAAGTCCCAAATGCACTTTTTATGCTGGCTCCACATTACCAGGTCACTCCTGGTTCTGAGCTTCACTCTAACTCTCCTCATACTTTTTGCTTCTCTTTCAGAAGCTGTCCTTGTGCTGAGAATGGTAGGATGAAGATTTTTTTTCCTTAGGCAGAAGGAACAGTAAATGCAGAGACCCTGAGATAAGGAAAGGGTGCGTGACTTATTCAAAGCAGAGCAAGGAAGCCCAAAGACCAGAGCAGAGTGCAGGAAAGGGGCGGTGGCCCGAGATACAGTCAGAGCAGTGGTAAGTCCCCAGAGTCTGTGGCAAAGACTTCAGATTTCATCCTGAATAGGAAGACAAGTCTTTGGGGAGTTTTGATCAAGGGAGTAAGATGAAATATCATAGGCTTAAAAACAACCATTCTGACAACTAAATGGAAAATGGACTGATGAAGAAAAAGAAGCCACAAGGAAGCCAGTTCAGAGGCTACTGAAATTTCCAGGTGAGACATGATGGTGGTCTGGACCAGGGATGTAAGAGTGGAAGTGGTTAGAAATGCTCTAGGGAGAATTAAAATGACTCATATATGGATTGGATACAAAGGTGGAAAAAGAGGAGTCAAGGGTGTGTCCAAGGTTTTTAACCAGAGCAACCGGGGGCATTACCATTTATTCGGTGGAGGAGGACTGAAGGAGGATCACATGTGGGAGGGGAAATCATGGGTTCTGTTTTATATATGTTAAATTTGAGATGCCTTTTCCCATTGATCATCTGTGTTAGTCTGTTCTAACATTGCTATAAAGAACTACTGAGACTGGTTAACTTATAAACAAAAGAGGTTTAATTTACTCACAGTTCCACATGGCTGGGAGGCCTCAGGGAACTTACAATCATGGTGAAAAGTGAAGGAAAAGCAAAGCACATCTTACATGGCAGCAGGAGAGAGAGTGCACAGGGGATATTGCCTTTTTCAACCATCAGAGCTCAGTAAATCTTCACTATCAAAAGAACAGCATGGGGGAATCAACTCCTACCAGGTCCCTCCCTCCACAGGTGGGGATTACAGTTCGAGATGAGGTTTGAGTGGAGACACAGAGCCAAACCATATCATCATCCATCAGGTAAAAATGTTGAGCAGGTAAGTTGAACACGTAATTCTGGAGTTCAGGGGAAAGGTTAGTGCTCAATAGTAAATTTGGAAGTATACCATTCTTCACTATTAGATGAAGATATTGCATCTACAGCTTGAAACTGTGGGCAAAAACATGGATTTTTATTTTTGACAAGGAGGAAATAATTTTGTTCTGGGTTTGTTTTCTGTAAAGACCAAATACTCTCAGTGCCTAGGAGGCAGGAGCCTGGGACTAAGTCCAGCTCCACATGTTGGCCTGTGTGTGTTGTCCAGTGAGGGAACTGAGAGTCCAGCACCAATGAATGTAACACAGAGGCCGGGGTCTTGGAAGAGGAAGCAGAAATCAAAACTGCTCCAGAGCACATCTGGAATAAACAAGCAAAACTCATCTTCCTTTATTTTGTGTTTTGTATCACTGAGCAATTTGATTAAAACAAATCAGCAGGACAAAAAATGAAGTTGCTTTTCTGTGGGGAAACAAAATCAATGAGAAGACTCAAGGTTGAGTAAATGTCCTATGGATACTCAGGGGAGATAACATTCCAATTTTCAGAATTTAAAGGAAATTTTTCCGAATTAGTTGTTTCCTAAAACATGAAGTTACTTTTGTTTTGTACTGTAAATTACATTGAAAGTATGGGACACATGTACAGGTAAATAGTTCATGCCTAAGAAGATCTCAAAAGTGCTTATAATATGTTTTTACTTGGTAAGATGTGGATGTTTAAAATAAAATAATGTCTTTATGAAAGTAATTGCATTAGTGATTTAGATAGAATAGGCATCTAAATCAGATTTGGCGACACAGGTGAAATGATCTGATTGGCTGTCATAAATTTCAACCCACGCAATTGCACTGCAAAAGAATCAATGCCTGCAAGAGGTAGTCACAGTGGTACACCACTCAGAGATGCTTCCAAGGGTGAACCTGCTACAAGGAGTGCTCATGGCTAACAGTCCCTGGTTGTGCTGACTCTGGGATCTGCCTCAGCTTTTGAGCAGATGCCAAGGACTTGCAAGGAACCTCCTGCCAATGACTGAGCAAAGCAGCAGTAGATGGGCTTGCAATTTATTTCTGGACAGTGAGATGCTCCTCTCTGGGCCCTTCTTGTGCCAGAGCTACTCATTGGGCTAGCCAAGGCTTTCCCAGAGCTACACTATGGTCTAAGGCTCTCCTTCCTGATCTTTCTTCCTTCCCTCACACCTTTGCAAGGTGTCAGAGCTCCATCATGGTCTAAAAGGCTTTACCTAACTGCTCTTGTTTATTTTCCCCTTTCTCTTTCAAGTCACATTCCCCAGTTAATGTCTTGCCTTTCTAGCCCTGTCTTGGCATCTGCTGCTGGGAGGACACAACTAGTTTATTGGATTATCCTTTACTTTGTCATATCAGGGGGCCCCCAGGGAAGATGTGGGATGATAATAATTAAGCTTGCTTTTATTGTTTTTCCTTTATTTATATTTTCCCCATCAATACCAATGTTTGCTTTTTAGGAAGATATGACATACTCTAGGACATTCCTTGTCTCCATTTGCTGCTTTTCAGATATCTGCTCTGGCTAGGTTACATAGATTCTTTCTGAGACAGAATTTGGCAATTTTTGAAAGAATACTAACCTTCAATTTTAAAAATATATATACATATTTAAAACATACATTTTACTCTGACAGCAAAAGATACTACAAATTATCAACTGTATTCGAATTCTTCCTTGAAGTCCTCTGATACAGAATTGGTTTCTACCAAATATAACAGATTTATATTCTCTAACCACAACAGATTTAGAGAAGAAAGATTGTGATGGGGAATCTGAAAACAACTAAGATGAAGTTGGGATGGGTTAACCCAAATCCAAGTCTTCCTCAGACAAACATACCAGGGCTTTCCTGAGCACAGGGCTCATTGTTAATGAATCCACCCAATTGCCAACCTTTTAGTGCCCATGTATGATTATTATCTGATTTTTGTTTTATAAGTCTTACAAGACCTATTATCCTTCTTTCTTATTTCACAGCTGAACAGAATCCCAACATAAGTTTGGGATCATGAACCCATGACATCAACATAGTCAGGTCAAGTATGAAGAACACTGCACTGTGGAGGCAGGGAGCCTGGTTTCTTCCTGGTTTCCACCTTAGCTCTATGTGTGTCCCCAACCAACAAAGTCACTCAAGCTGTTAGTCTCTCTATGTGGATGAAATGGAGAAGTTGAAATAGCTACTCACTGTGATCCCTTTCAGCTCTGAATGACTATAATTCTATGAAACTAGAAAAGAATGCAATGTGTTTAAAGTCATTCTCTGACACTACTTCTTCTTTAATAAACAAAACAAAACACAATCCTAAAACATGTTTGTTTTTTCAAAGACAGTTTTTGCTTTATTCACACTCCTTCCTCTGTTTTGTGGGACGATCTCAATGAATTTCTGAGGGATTGAGAAGACCAATTTCCAAATCATCTGGAGTAATTAATTCCAGTGGTTGGAGTTAATTATGATGAGGCAATTCATAAAGTATACAGTAGAAAAAAGCAGTTGATGATACTTCATCTGCAGTGAGGTTTTTTTCAAAGGCATTCTTCTGGCAATGCATTTCAAAGTTAAACATGTGTGCTTCAATTGTGGGAAAATAGTTTGCAAGGGTGTTATTAGGTACAGGTGTGAATTACGTGCATATGGTCCTATGCATATTTTTACAGATATGATACATACCCAATTGGTGTATAACATGGGAGAATTAATAACTATAGCAGGGACCTCAACTCTATCATGTTTTTTATACTATTTACTATAGTATATTTACCAAAAAATCCATTAGTAAAATGGCATGATATTATGAAATAATTTTAATATCAATGTGAAAAGTTAACAGGAATATATTGAGTATAAAAGCAATAATTTGGGAAGCATTCTGTATTATAAACATAAAGAATTTGAAATAATGCAATAACAGGCTATATTTCTGTTTTATGATTCTGATAATAAAGCACTTAAGTTCCACTTTCATGGTTTATGCTGTTATCAGAACCCCCTGATATAATTAGATGGCCTTGTTTTAGATAATTACTTGTATTTTGTTATTGTATAGCAAAAATCCCACTGGAAAAATCCTCAGTATTTTAAATGTAAGAGCTATATTGCTGGAATAGGCCAAAAGAACTGGAAATCAAGTTTATTCATAATACAGGAGCCAGGTATTTTGCAAGCTGAGTAAAAATGATAATACCACTCTCTTCCATTTTTACTTTTTTTATAGTTCACAAATTGATTTTACTTTTATGACTTCTCTTATATTATTCTCTTACCACTCCTGAGGGGTAGTTGTTATTATTCCCATTTTATAGATGGGGAAGTTCATGCTGAGGGGTTGTGGTCAGATTAAGTGGTGGAGCGGAGATTCAGACAAAAACCTGTCATCTTACTCTAAAATTCCATTCGACTCACAACTTCTGAAATTACAAGAAAAACAATCTGGTTAAGAAGCATCATGAGTATGGCATGTTTTGCAGTAATAACTGAACCTTTCTCAGAGATGCCTATACTACACCTTCTACCCTGGAGTTAGATGCCTGGGTTCTAAGTCAGGTTCTGTTATCAACTGACTTTGTATCCTTAGCCAAACGACTTGTCCACTCCCAAAGGTGGTGGTGGTGGTGGCAGGGTTTTGACATTTGGGGGTGGGGGTGAGGTTGAAATATTTTTCTAGATCTAAAGTATCTGATTCAAATTTTGTTAAACTAAAATTAACATACTGCCGATTGATTGACCATGTCATTGTCATTTATGACACTATACTGTAACGTTATAGGATGCAATCAATCACTCAGAAAGTGTTCTTTAATCAGGACAAGCTAAAATAAGCTTGCATAAGGTATTTACTTAGAAAATCATTATATCTGGAAAGTTTTTCCTCTAAAATATCTTATATAAATAGGACTAAACTTAGCCTACTCTGTTGAAGCAAGAAAAAGAAAAGAAGCAAAGAAAAGGAACAGAAGGAATTGGAAAAAAAGGGGAAGGAATGGAAGAAAAATACTCAAACAAATTAATATACAGTCTTAATGATTTTTATATTTTTTATTAGGTTGGTGAAATAGTAATTGTGATTTTGCCATTACTTTTAATACTAGTTTCAGATCAAGGTCTATAGGATTTTTTTAGTTATGTGAGCAGGAAAACAATCTCACCAGTCATTTGACATTAATATAAGCATGTTTGCTCACATTTACTGTGCTATATTATATAGAATGTCTAGAAATTGTACAAATGTATTTACAATTGAAAATGCAAGTGCAGCTCAAATAATCAAATAATTTTTAGAATATTGCCCCCACCTGATAAATAG